TATTAATATACTAATTTTGCTCATCACATCTGATCCTGTGAGACTAAGAGACGGATTCCTCCATGCTGTCTTTTTTTACAGGGATATTTTTACACCCATTTTATTGAACATGTCAGGCAGAATGTTTGAATTTTTTTTTACCTGACCATTTGTCAGATCAATGTTCAGACATTTCTACTAGAATGGTCAAATTCTGTACCTTCACCAGAATAACAATTGACTAAAACATCAATTAGTCAATTAGCTAAGGTGTGTTTGCTGATGCTGAGTAAATTGTTTTAACTATTATCTTAATGGTTTAGCCAAATGTGAAATTGTTTCCTTACAAAATGTATCCAATGTGCTCATCCAGATCATTAAAAAGGGTTGAAGCAGGTCTGAATGATTTGAAACAAACTGATTAACTGACCTTTCTGCTATATGATATTTTAAACATGAACGATTTGTCATGGAAAATATATGTAAATATTACTTCTCAACTTAAGAAAAAAGAATATTTCAAAAGCATTTAGGAACTATGATTACTTAATGTTATCATAGTTTGGATTTTTCTTTTTTCTTTTAAGCAGAGTATATGAAATATAATACAAGTTTTCACCAAATCTAAGGATATTTCTTGGTTATAAAGAAAAAACAATCATGATGACTTGCATCTCTTCCAGATTGCAAATCCATTTTTCTGTTAGGACTATGCTATGTCTTTGATAAAGAAACAAGAGGAAAAGAAAGGACAGGAAAACCATATAAAGCTCATCACAGGCTCAATGCATTTATTTTGTGGATTTCATATTTTAGAATATTCAGTAATGCATCTATGCGACAAAAGGTGGTATTCAAGAAAAATCCTTAGATTATTGCCTTTTTGAAAAGGATGTCCCAAAACCTCTGTATCAGCTTGCTTAAGTATTCAAGAAATAATTGACATGGCATTGTCCTTGAGATTAGAGAAAAGGCATAACAGATAAAAGTCAAGGAAACAGATTGTTTAACAAGCAGTTTTTAAATATCTTATTCAGATCCTCAGGTGACAATAATTGAAACTGTTCTCTCAGCTGTTTTAATATTATGTATAAATGTGCCATAGAAGGCCTCGGAAATTCTAAGACCCTTCTGAAAGTGAAATGTAAGAAGATTTCTTTGCCATGATTGCCAAAATTATGCTCCAGACCTAGCATTGTTGGTATGAAATTTATATTATTTGTACTCCAATCAGCCTACTTATTTCATCTTCTCAATAAGCCAAAGAGCCAGTGCAAATCTGCACTGCAAGACAGTTAACAGAAATGACTATTTCATATTAAGATCAAGACACAGACAGAAACATCAGCCATTCCTATTCATTTATGTTTTACAATCTAGAGCCATAATCCAGGACAATTAAGTCTCCAAAGGAAAGTTACAAGTTTCTGGATGTATATCAAGTTAATAATTCCTACATTCCTGCAGAGGGAATAAACTATTACTAGTCCTTTATGAGAAAAGTGACAGGAGTGTTATTAAGACAAAAATGGACACAGATGCTGGTCTCAACTTTCTTGAAGAACAGATATTCACAATTCAATCACTAAATGAAAGCCTATTGATGACTCCCAAGATAAGCCTAAATATCACTAAATAAATGTTAAATAAATATTTAAAGTTTTGGTAAAACAGTAAGTCGTGAAGGATATTATTTGCTAAATTGTGTTTTTAAAAAGACAAATTAAAATAGACAATTGAGGATTGATTTGGAGAAGTATATTAATGTTTTGCTCCAAATTAATATTGTAATTTGTGTTCTTAAACACAAGAATTACAAATATGCACTTGCTATAGTGACTGTGATTGTGTATCCCTTTCCACTGGTGCTGTTCAAATCCTGATTATGGCAACTTCTTGTTCAGAAAGAATTGTTGGATTCCAACCATATACAGCATATTTGCACTGACCCAACATACAAGATCAGGTTTGTTTGTGTACACATGAAATGTGAAGAAGTGATGTATGAACTCTTTACAGAATCTGACAGCTGAGCTATAGAGTACAAAGTACAATTTTTTTGCACCATCATTTCTTTCCAAATAATCCAGTCAAGTGTTCCACTATCAAAGTAATAAACCACCAGAGAACTGTATAAGAACTCTATTTAGATGAGCACAAACACATTGCAGCACTCCTGAAATCTTAAAAAAGGAAACAGATAATCTATATGGATATCTATGCAACTTTATCAAAAAGTGACAGTCAACCCAATATAGCACAACCAACACAAAAAAGAATAAAAGTAAAAACAACAACATTGCCATACAACGGCAACAGAAATCACCTGAGACTTCTACAACTACATGGAATCAGTGTAGTACAGAAACCAACTAAAGACCTCCAAAATAACTTAAATAAACCAAAAGACTCAGCAGCCCTAGAAGAAAAGAACAGCAGTCATCTGCAACAACCTACAGTGTAAATAAAGACTGCCACAGCCACTATGTAGGGCAAACAAGCAGAACACCAACTAGAAGTCAGAAGACATGATGAAAACTCTTTAATTCTACATATTTAGCCAGAGTTTCAACTGGGAAACCATGACCATTGTAGACCAAGCCAAATAAAAAAACAGAGAATTCCTGAAAGTCTGGCACTCTTGACAAACTGCCCATCAACAGACACATAGACATAAACAACATCTACATAGAATGTAAAAGAGAAAATCAAGTCAAAAAGGGAACAAAAAGACCAAAACACCTTCCAATCAGCAATCAAAACCACCCAGATTAACATCGGACCAACAATCAAGAAATAAACAATATCCCAATCAAGGAACTGCCAAACAAGTTAACAATAAATAGCCCAACCAAAGAAACTCCAAGACCATTCCCACCAACATTGACAGAGCAAGCCACTAGAATATATATATATATATATATATATAGCAAATCCCATTCCTTACTAGCACTGACAATGATACCTAGTTTTGATAATGAAAGTATCCCTCAATCTGATTTGAATTATGAAGTACTAATATATACAAGTTTCTTCAAAATCTCTCTATGTTTAATTCATTGCTGCATTTCTCTGCAATACATTTTGCAGAGAATATTTTTTCCTCTTTTCTCATGTAACCATTATTTGCCGCTTTTAATTTCCCAATGCCCAACAAAGGAGAATTTGATACAAGTGATACTTAAGAACTGCTCTTTTCTGGACCATAAGCAGTGGAGTGCCCCTGAAATTCTGAAGCATTGGGAATAATTGTTATATCCTAACTGAGAGTTAACAATTATATCATAATTGGACAGTGCAATGTAAATCGTTATAGTTTTAAGGTAGGACTAAGAGACACAGTTAAGAATTTGCTACATAAACACCCAGTGCAGTTCATAGTGCACCAACCTCTAGCAAAGAAAACCTCCAAGCAACCTTTTTATGAAACACCCCTCCCCAAATTACCCTGGAGAAATGAGTTCCTGTTTCTTTTTTTTTGAAAATTCACCTAGATCTTGGTTTCTGCTTCACCCCATTCCACTTGATGTAGCTGCTTTCAGAAAACGAATGTTTGTATAGTGTTTATGGTGCTGGACATGCAGCAGAATGAGGAGATGCAGATCTAATCACCCTTAGGCATGGAAGCAATTCCCCCCCAGCCCTAACTTGTACCAAGCTTTGCAATAAGGTGATTGAAAAATGAAACTTCTTGTCATTTCATGCAATATAAAACAGGTGAATATAAATATAAAATAGGTGGATCCTGCAACCAAACTAAGAACAACATAGAAATCCTTCAAGCTGTCCTTACTTTTAATGCAAATCTAAAGCTTGACTTCTATCTGCTGTTTGACAATCACCTCCTCCTTTGATTCTGGAGCTACTCTGAGCTTTGACTTCAGCCTGAGATTTTGTTCCACATATATCTGACCCACTTGAAGAGGTCCCATGGTCCATAGAGCTTGATATTGCAGAGGGATAGATTATACTGTCTCAAAATAACAATGAGGCCAGCATAATTTTACAATGAAGAAACAATAGATTGATCTGCATGGTTAAACCTGGGGTTTCAATACTTTGGTTTGAAAAAAGCAGTATATCATCATTGATAAAACAAGATTTCCCAATGGCATCTCATAATATCTAAGGTACCCAGAACTTTGACTCTACGAATTGCAACTTGAAATAAAACAAAATAGAAAAAAAAAACTGGGTCAGAAACAGAAAACACAGCTTTGCAAATAATAGTTCACCCTAGAGATAGGAGAAAAGTGTTACTATTTAAATTTTTATAAGTATATTTTAAAACATAAAAATGGCATTTTCCTAATTTGAAGCTCTTCTAATTTATGTATTTGGCTACTGTTTAATAACAGTAAGTCCCAGAATTGTCCAAAACAGGTTTAGGCAAGGGAACAAGGTAGGTAAATTCAGAAAAAAAACTTTCTTCAAACTCTTTTTACACTGTGGCATTCATAATTTATATTTGATATTGTAAGATACAACATTAAAAAATGTGTATGACTACAAATTGAAAAGAAATATCTATTCAGAACAGGATATTTACATCTTGGTATTTTTAATGCTTGAAAACTATAAGCTCCACACCTGGAGAACCTTACATACTCGTTTAATGCAACAGGTATACCTGAAATTATAATATTTATGTACAGAAATTCATGGACATAGAATATAATTATAACCTGTTCACTTTCATGAAAACTCTAGTGAGCTAAGCCCAGGAACAATTACACCCAAATGACAAAATTTCCCCCATGACACAGTTTCTAGGTTACAATCCTCACTCCTGCACAACTGAAAAAGTACACTGAGAGTAATCTTTCAAAGCTTTGCTTTGAGACTTTGTAGTAGCCTAAGGTAAATGAAATGCCCTCTAGGGGCAAGAATGATGTGCTTAAGTACATGGTGTGTAACTATAATGAACCTTTAAAAGAAAGTGCAATGATAATACATGAAAAAGTACACAAAGCAGAAAGCAATTAATGTATTGCACTCATATTTAAAAGAAAAATACTTACAGGAACATCAACATATTTTGCAGCTGCTTTTACCTTTAGAAAATGTAAAAGTAGAAAACAAACATCACTTGGTATCATTGGCTCATAATGGATTTTTCAAATTGCTTTTCAATAGTTGTTGTACTTACAGTGAATGAAAGTATTGATGAGAAGAAAGTGCCTTCATCATACCTTGATAATTTAGAGAGCACACCTTCTAGCACAGCAACAAACTATATTAAGAAACACAACATAAATATTCATAATGTGTAAAAGGGCTTGAAATTACTTTAAACAGCTGCAGAAGGTCATGGGGAGGGGAGACCTTTCTTTTATGGCTCACATACTATGCCAGATACCGGGTAATACCTACTGCCAAATCCTTAGTTAAATGTATGGAGTAGTTGATGCTTTCTGAGCTTGATTGCTTGCCTGCAGACATTTCATTACCAACCATTTGCCAGTTCAAATTTCACCAGGCTCAAAGTTGCCTCAGTTTTCCATACTTCCGAGGACCCAGATTGTTATGGGCAATGTGCTGATGCTGTAAACCGCTTAGAGAGGACTGTAAAGCACTGTAAAGCGGTATATAAATCTAAGTGTTATTGCTATCATCTGTGTGAGAATGGACTTTGTCCCGTTTACATATAGTAGCTTGCTCTGCCAGTTTTGCTCATGAAAGGTTCTTAATCTCCCAACACCTGGACAGATTCATCTTCAGCAGTGGTAGTCAACCTGATCCCTACTGCCCACTCGTGGGCGTTCCAGCTTTCATGGTGGGTGGTAGGGGTTTGCTGTAACCCTGCTTTATAAATTTTATAAAGTAAAGTTACTTCCCTACTTTATAAATCACCGTTACTGTGGAACCGGTGGGCGGTTAGAAAATTTTACTACTAACAGAGATACAAAAGTGGGTGGTAGGTATAAAAAGGTTGACTACCCTTGATCTACAGTGTCAAGAGGGAAATTGTTAGCATCTTAAAGAAAGGTAAAAGTTTGCTCTGTCCAGTCATGTTTGACTCTAGGGGGCGGTGCTGATCTCCATTTCTTAGCCAAGGGAACTAGTATTGTCTGAAGACACTTCCATGCTCATGCATGACTCATGAGGTGAATGATGAAATGCTGTTACGTTCTCATTGAAATGGTACCTATTAATCTACTTGTATCTACATGCTTTCAAACTTCTAGGTTGGCAGAAGCTGGGACAAGTAATGGGAGCTCACCCTGTCTCAAACCTGGGCTGTCAGCTTTCCAGCTGATAAGCTCAGTGTCTTTAACCATTGAACCATTCTCCCCTCCTTTTCCTGGTTATCATCTTAGACAAAAATAAATTAAAGAAATGGTAGGGAATGGTAGAGATAAATCATATTTGTATTCAAAAAATAAAAGCCAAGCCACAATAAAAAAGCCAAGAAGGAAACAAAAAGACCAGAAAACTCCCTCTCCAGCACTAGGCAAATAATCAAGCAAAAAACAAAATACCTTAATCAAGGAACTACCAGCTACACTTAAAATGGGCAAACCCCACACTCCATTGCACTGATAATCTTACTTAGTTGGGTAATAAAATGTCTGTAAGCAAACAGCCAAGCTCCCAGAACACTAAGGACTTTATAATTCAGCTCTGAGCTACATATATTCACTTCTATTGGAAATTTAGTTAGATCTAATTAAATTTAAATAGTATTAAATTAAAGAGTATTAATGGAATTCAATCCATCCAGAAATTATTTTATACACACATATTCATATTATTCAGAATTACAAAAAATGAAGTGTTGGTGATAGACTTATACTCAGAATAAATCTACTGAAATCCATGGAGCGTCAGTCATGGACTTAACTATATTAACCAAAATCCTACAATTTCAATGATATTAAGCACCAGTAAACCTAGATCCAACACAATGCAAATTAAATATGTAAAGAATTTCTTAACTTATTAGGTTAGTTTGATGGGCTTACAAAGCAGACAACAAAATAATTTTGATAACAGAATCCATTGGGAGTTGTACAACCAGAACAAATTTGAATTAATACTATCCATAACTTTCTGCTTTGATTGGTCATTTTCATTAATTGGTGAATATTTATTTATCTCATCCCAGAATCACACAATTGGAATAGATGGCCTTATAAATCTTCAATAAATAAATGTAAAATTACTATTTTACACAATTGGAAAAAGTTCACTACTATACATGTTGTATAAATGTTGTAATATTAATCATGCATGTTTTTTTTAAAAAAAATACGTAGCCCTTTTTATATAAGTTCTTTATTTTGTGTTATTGTATAATGTTATATTGCATTGGTTTCAAAGTAGTCAGCTACATTGAATGTCTCCTAAACATTAAAAGAAGGAATACATCTATCTATCTATCTATCTATCTATCTATCTATCTATCTATCTATCTATCTATCTATCTATCTATCTATCTCTTCAGTTCAAGATTATCACTGCTGTA